CCAGCGCTCACTGAGAACAGATCTTTCAGATTGGTTACGTGAAAGTGAGTGCATACTCTGCAGTCAAGCAAAAGTGGTATAAAACAACATCCCCATCCGTTTTAACAGATTGGGAAACGTTGGCCAATAGATCGTCGTAAAATTACTTCATCACGTCTTGACGCACCCAAGTATGGTATAACCGTTGTTGGACATCCTACTATACCATTAGGCGTTGTGACATTTATTACCATCTGTGTTAGTATTCCACGTTAACCTGCTATCAATAAAAGTTCCAAGGTACTTGTACTCAATTGGTTCACCATTAATGTTGGGGAGTTAGTTCTGAAATCAATACAGAGTTCTTTTGTCTTTTTGACATTTAAAATCAAATGATTCTCTGTACACCATGATGTGAAATTCTTTACATTATCTCTGTATCGTGTTTCTGATTCATAATCATACATCTGACCAACAATGGCTGCATCATCAGCAAACTTCACATTATACAGTTATTTTCTACACGATATCTTGTAGATTACGGAATAGATGAGGTGGGGTAAAATTGGGTTTAACGTCGTGCTTGAGAATATTTCGCTCATATGAAGACGTGCATGCGTGTGTATGTGCGGCTGCTTGTACTAGACCACACTTAAGCTGGTTTTATAGTGCTAGCCCACTGAGATACCATGCCGCAGTGAAGCATGAATACCCCACTCAGACACATTATACTGACTCCGAGCCGACCAGCCTTTGTTGTACCCATTAATGCCGAGCGCCAGGCAGGGACCAACAAGTACCACATTTTAACGTCTTTTGGTATGACGCAGCCGGGGATCGAACCCGCGACCTTCCGCACTCCGGGCGGACGCTCTAACCACAATAGAGGCGCCCATTACGGAATGGGACGAGTGTGCCAAATGGCATCGGGGCCATTTGGCAAGTGGCGGAAGATTAAAATCACGAGACACCAAGTCTACCCGTAACCTTCGTAATTGTCCGTGACCTATTCGACGCTTTCCGTTCATTTCCGTGACGTCACAGGAATGACTAGATAAATTTGCACATTGTGTAACAGTGTGGATGTAGTTGAGTCTGTTAGCAGTCGAGCTGTTAGACCCAACGCTCGTTTCTGATAACTAGAGGGCGGTTTCATGATAATTCCATCAATTTTAGCTATAACACTATTGGTCTAGAAGCCAGACCCCCCAAATGGTGAAAATGTGGTGCAGTTCTGGCGACCGAATGGAATGTGATTTTTCACAATCAGGAATGATTTGGCTTTGATTTAAAGCCGGTTGTCATCAGCTACCGTGCGTGACTACCGTGTAGGGGCCCTTTTAAGGTGCAACATGTCATGTCAGTTATGGCAATATTTTAACCGATAACTGGATGGTTTAATTTAATAACTCTGGTTTGGTTTGACCGATTTTCATCAAAATAGTAGTTTTGGAATGCTCAGACCATGATGTAAAATTGTGGACAATAATATTACATATATGTTCATCGCAAAAATATTTTGGTAAGGTCAAAGGTCAGTTTTAATAGAAAGGGCATTTGATGAGAAAATGTGAGTTGAACTTTACAAATTAAAGGTAAGTTTTCCAAAATTATGTGTTTCTGATTCAGCTATATCATTTGAAGATCATAGATACCTTTGAAAACCATTACAAGGAAATAAAGGTTGGTACTTTGTATTGAGATCAGCAAAACATAAGATAATTTCAGCTCCATGCTTTACAAAGTATCAACAATACTAAATACGTCGAAGATACTGTTGAACTATCATACAAATGTGCGTTTATTGACATTCTAGCAGAAACAACAATTCAGCTGATGTCAGAAGGATGTTATGATTTGACTAAGTGTCAGTATTGCACTGACATGCTGTGAAACCCTTAAAGTTGATGGATAATAATATGACATCCTAATGGAAGGTTTACAATTGACATTATGGTGTTCCATTTTTTCTGTTTACAATGTGAAATATTACGACTTTGGTTTTATTTATTTATTTTACACCGGCAATCATTGATACATGATTGTAAAAGATATGACACACTGATCAGAAAGGCGTTATGGTATCTTACCACCAAATATACACACAGTCATGTCATCATAACACAAGCAACATTACCTTCATATCAATTCGTATTTAATGTTCTTAATAGTCATAGTGTATTCCCAGTTGACATGTTAGTCAATGTCAACATTGTCAAGATCACGGGAACATGTTTCATGTCCACATCCACATGCCGAAGCACACAACAGGTTCAACCTATTGCAGCTACACCTTCCTGTACATTGGCGTTTACATGCACAGATATGTTGAAGAATGTCCACGGAAACGATTTAGTCTTAACTTATTTGCAACCTTATCACAGAGGAACAGAGGAATATTTGATGAAGATCTATTACGAAAGAAACGTACTGCTTTAAATACAAAACATTAAGTGCCTAGTTTTATGGACAACTCAAAAAGAAATTCCTAGACAATATTCATATAAACATCTTGTTTCTACTGTAACGTTCATAAAAATATGCATACCTCGGTTGTAGTAATATGTAATGATATACACAAAAGAGTTACACATAGCATGGTCATGACACTATGAGCATCGATCTTCACAAGTGGGATACGATGGCATGCATCAAACAAGTAAATGAGAACGATCACCCGATCACATTAGTTCGCTCTTACAACATGAGCTGCTGAAGATCAATTTGGACCCAATTAACATATTTGTGAACCTGCCAGAATGGTTAATGAACAAATGTATAGTCAGTCTCATGATATCTAGTGTAGATCATTCCAAATGCTATTACTGACAACAGAATGTATGTCGCCAATATCTTTTCTGGTCTCTGCATAAGTCGTACCTCAGAGAGCCAATTGTCAAGCTGCATTTAATTAATATCAGCTGTTCCGTACACGCACAGAAGTTGGTATATACGTTGACAGACGCTTTAGAATTATATTTTGCGCGGAAAACCTTGAATCGTCTATACATATTGACAGTAGTGAGTGACTTCGTCTAGATGGATACTAAAAGACCAACTGTCGTTCCTTTCCCGATTTCCATATGTCGCATGACTACGTTGTCCTTCAAGCAGAGAGTGAATGAACTGACAATAGTTATAGAATTGGCTCACGTGAATCACTATCTTCATCAGCTGATGCACGTCGACAGTACAACGTCAGCTCTAACATATTGACAGACCTCACCTAGATGAACATTACCAAGTCAGCTGTAGTCAACTGCATTGTTCCAACAGATATAACGAAGCCACCAGCTGTGATCAGCAGAGTGTGTTTCAAATGAAGGACATCTCCTGCTTGCCCAGATCTATATATTTAGTTTCCGAAATACGAATGCTAATATTACTAGGATTAAGATATTTAAATGCGTTTCCCCCCTTGTAAGAACCACATTCGCTCTGTATCGCTGGGACCTTACACATGCCAGTAGTCATACTCCAAACTTTCGGCCCAACCCCTTCTGTAATGCAATGGTCCAAAATGAAGCCAGTCTAGTTCTGAATCTCCGAACTCACTGGGGTTAATTCAGTATATAAGGAGTTATATATTGCTATCAAAATTTCCTATTTTCAGAGGCTTCCGCTTGGAATAACGTGCCAGGATCCTGTAATTATGGACCCAAACATGCTCCGGATATGCTTATTGTTTATTCAAGACCATATCTATGTTTCTGAATTTCTCCCACGTTTCTAGGCTGCTTCTTAGTAGCCGAGAAACGTTGTGTATTTATGATAATGAATATTTGCTTGATATTTTATGGAATATGGAAAGGTTAATCCAAGTATATTGTAAATCCATACAGATGAAACTCTTCCAAAGAAATGGATTAAATTGTCACATTTTCCCTTAATTTCTCTTGAGGAGGAGGAGGAGGAGGAGGAGAGGAGGAGGAGGAGGAGGAGGAGGAGGAGGAGGAGGAGGAGAGAGGAGGAGGAGGAGAGGAGGAGAGGAGGAGGAGGAGGAGGAGGAGAGGAGAGGAGAGGAGAGAGGAGGAGAGAGAGGAGGAGGAGGAGGAGAGGAGGAGAGAGAGAGAGGAGGAGGAGGAGGAGGAGGAGGAGGAGGGAGGAGGAGGAGGAGGAGGAGAGAGGAGAGGAGAGAGGAGGAGAGGAGGAGAGAGGAGGAGAGAGAGAGAGGAGGAGGAGGAGGAGGAGGAGGAGGAGGAGGAGAGGAGGAGGAGGAGGAGAGAGAGGAGGAGGAGGAGGAGGAGAGGAGAGAGGAGAGAGGAGGAGGAGAGAGGAGGAGGAGGAGAGGAGGAGGAGGAGAGAGGAGGAGAGGAGAGGAGAGAGAGAGAGGAGGAGGAGAGAGAGGAGAGGAGGAGAGAGAGGAGGAGAGAGGAGGAGGAGGAGGAGGAGAGAGAGGAGAGAGAGAGGAGGAGGAGGAGGAGAGAGAGAGAGAGGAGGAGGAGAGAGAGAGGAGAGAGAGAGGAGAGAGAGAGAGAGAGAGAGAGAGAGAGAGAGAGAGAGAGAGAGAGAGAGGAGAGAGAGAGAGAGAGAGAGAGAGAGAGAGAGGAGAGAGAGAGAGAGGAGAGAGAGAGAGAGAGAGAGAGAGAGAGAGAGAGAGAGAGAGAGAGAGAGAGAGAGAGAGGAGAGAGAGAGAGAGAGAGAGAGAGAGAGAGAGAGAGAGATGTTGAAGTATAGTTAGTGAGTTTATTTTACGCCACTTTTAGTAATATTCCAGCAATATCACGGCGTGGGACACCAGAAATGGGCTTCATACATTATACCCATGTTGGGAATCGGACCCGGGTCTTCGGCGTGACGAGCGGACGCATTTAACCATTACTTTGTCATTAAATGTTTTTCACGTCATATTTTCCCAGATAAACTGGCATTTTTATAAACGTAGAACAAACTACTTTATTTGTACTGGAATAAATATTTGTTTTCAAAAGAAAGCTCCCAATGGATTGATCAAATGATGGTCTATAAAAACAGTCGAATATCGTTTTAATATGTACGTGTTTGGTACTCTCTGACAGAGAAGAAGAATGTCCACATTCAGGGACGTAAGACGTGGCAGGGATGTAAAACGTCAAGGACGTCGGATCCTAATCAGATTCAGATCGTCATCAGTTCCAGCTTGGAGTAAGTAAAATGTCAAATATTAGAATTGTATTAGAATTGTAGTAAATGTCAAATATTAGAATTGTATTAGAATTGTAGTAAATGTCAAATATTAGAATTGTATTAGAATTGTAGTTAATGTTAAATATTAGAATTGTATTAGAATTGTAGTAAATGTTAAATATTAGAATTGTATTAGAAATGTAGTAAATGTCAAAATGTCAAATATTAGAATCTTGTATTAGTAGAATATTAGTAGTAAATGTCAAATATTAGAATTGTATTAGAATTGTAGTAAATGTCAAATATTAGAATTGTATTAGAATTGTAGTAAATGTCAAATATTAGAATTGTATTAGAATTGTAGTAAATGTCAAATATTAGAATTGTATTAGAATGTAGTAAAATGTCAAAATGTTAAATATTAGAGAATTGCATTAGAATTGTAGTGTCAAATATTAGAATTGTAGTAGTAAATGTTAAAATATTAGAATGTATTAAATGTCAAATTAATAGTAGAATCCAGAATAGAATTAGAATTGTAGTAAATGTTAAATATTAGAATTGTATTAGAATTGTAGTAAATGTATTAAATATTAGAATGTGTAAATGTCAAATATTAGAAATTAGTAGTTAATGTTAAATATTAGAATTGTATTAGAATTGTAGTAAATGTCAAATATTAGAATTGTATTAGAATGTAGTAAATGTCAAATATTAGAATTGTATTAGAATTGTAGTAAATGTCAAATATTAGAATTGTATTATTAGAATTGTAGTAAATGTTAAATATTAGAATTGTGTATTAGAATTGTAGTTAATGTTAAATATTAGAATTGTATTAGAATTGTAGTAAATGTCAAATATTAGAATTGTAAATTAGAATATTAGAATTGTATTAGAATTGTAGTAAATGTTAAATATTAGAATTGTATTAGAATTGTAGTAAATGTCAAAATTAGAATATTAGAATTGTATTAGAATTGTAGTAAATTTCAAATATTAGAATTGTATTAGAATTGTAGTAAAATGTGTATTAAATATCAAAATTGTATTAGAATTGTAGTAAATGTCAAATATTGAAATTGTATTAGAATTGTAGTTAATGTTAAATATTAGAATTGTATTAGAATTGTAGTAAATGTCAAATATTAGAATTGTATTAGAATTGTAGTAAATGTCAAATATTAGAATTGTATTAGAATTGTAGTAAATGTCAAATATTAGAATTGTATTAGAATTGTAGTAAATGTCAAATATTAGAATTGTATTAGAATTGTAGTTAATGTTAAATATTAGAATTGTATTAGAATTGTAGTAAATGTCAAATATTAGAATTGTATTAGAATTGTAGTTAATGTTAAATATTAGAATTGTATTAGAATTGTAGTAAATGTCAAATATTAGAATTGTATTAGAATTGTAGTAAATGTCAAATATTAGAATTGTAGTAAAATGTGAAAATATTAGAGTTACATTAGAATTGTAAGTAAAATGTGCAAACATTAGAATTGTATTAGATTTGTAAGTAAAATGTGCATATATTAGAATTGTAAGTAAAATGTACAAATACTAGATTAAAAGTATAAGATGCAAATATTAAAATTGTAAGTAAAATGTGATAACATTACAATTGTAAGTAAAGTATGCAAATACTAGAATTGTAAGTAAAATGTACAGATATTAGAATTGCAAGTAAAATATGCAAATATTAGATTTCTAAGTAAAATGTGCAAATAATAGAATTGTTAGTAAAATATGCTTTTAATTTGTCCCTATCTATATTTCAGCACCAGCAAGGACCCATTACATCCCATAGTTGTGCCCAGTTTTGAGGAAGCGGTCAAGGTCGCAACGTCACCGGAAGTAAAGAGTCAGGCGGAGTCCATATGGATCATCGGGGGTCAACGTGTGTACGAGGTAGTGTATGGCCGCCGACTCAATGACCACAACAATGAGCGTTGTGGGCGAGCTGGCTAAGGCGCCAGGCTAGTGATCCAGCGAGCATGAAGTGCCTGGATCGAGCCCACCTGTGACCGGGTGTAAAAACCTTGAAGTCAACTTTGTGTGTGAGCAGACTCTTTCAGTGTTGTCACAAGCCCTAGTGTACAGTACACAACCATGTGCACTTGAAAGAAGCCACGAATACGTTGGTATATGACCAGATGGTGTCCACACGAATACGTGCAACACCTAGTTGCGGGTACAGCAACGTGCAGTAAACTTGGACGAAATACTGTGACTACGTGTCCCAGTCCACCCAACTGTGAATGGGTACCTCGTAAGGATGGGAAAGCCACATTAACTCGGTGCGCCTAGTGGCTGCAAGAGTTGTATGTTCCCCAGGGAGTTGAGATTGATAATACATTGTGCCGTTTGAGACTGACATCCAATGATCGAGGGAAAAACAAAGCTCCTTTGAGCAGGTGATCTGGATATTGGCGCTATATAAATATATATAAATAAATAAAACACAAAAACAAAAAACCAATAGCCCTATGACCAACTGTAACCCCTGCGACGATGTTGCTTGGGTTGCTCATAATGTCAGTCTAGATGTCTAGATGCATGTATTCAACGGCTTCCATCGTTTGTCAGTGAAAATTGGTTGGAACTGGTCTTCATCAACCCACGCTTGTCGTAATTAGCGACTAACGAAATCCGGTGGTCAGGCTCGTTGACTTGGCTGACACAAGTCATCATAATCCAATTGCGTACATCGATGCTCATGATGTCAATCACTGGATTGTTTGGTCCGGATTCGATGATTTACAGACTGCCGGTGTGCTATTGGACTGTTGTTGCGTGCGCTGTTAAACAATTAACACTATGAAATGGGACAGTGTGTGTCCCTTAGGTATTGGCCTCTTCTGGTTACGGGGAGGGACATATCAAACACTGCTTTGAACGGTACTCCAGTGAGTGAGTAACCTTTGAACGGTACTCCAGTGAGTGAGTGACACTGCTTTGAACGGTACTCCAGTGAGTGAGAGAGTGACACTGCTTTGAACGGTACTCCAGTGAGTGAGTGTGCGAGTGAGTGACACTGCTTTGAACGGTACTCCAGTGAGTGTGTGAGTGAGTGAGTGACACTGCTTTGAACGGTACTCCAGTGAGTGAGTTTCCAGTGAGTGAGTGAGTGACACTGCTTTGAACGGTACTCCAGTGAGTGAGTGAGTGGGTGACACTGCTTTGAACGGTACTCCAGTGAGTGAGTGTGTGAATGAGTGAGTTACACTGCTTTGAACGGTACTCCAGTGAGTGAGAGAGTGAGTGAGTGACACTGCTTTGAACGGTACCCAGTGAGAGGAGCACGGAGTGAGTGAGTGAGTGAGTGACACTGCTTTGAACGGTACTCCAGTGACTGAGAGAGTGAGTGAGTGACACTGCTATACCCGTGGGTTTTACGATTATGCTAAACGTCTAAGACTGACATCACTTCGGGACTTCGTCCCACACAGTGCAGACACGCCGGGACATAACAGGAGTACTGTTCAAAGCAGTGTTAAACCCAACTCACTCACTCACGCACTCACTGGAGTACCGTTCAAAGCAGTGTTAAACCCAACTCACTCACTCACGCACTCAATGGAGTACCGTTCAAAGCAGTGTTAAACCCAACTCACTCACTCACGCACTCAATCGGAGTACCGTTCAAAGCAGTGTTAAACCTGAGGTAAAATTTAAGGTAACTCGGCAATGTTAGGAGCCATGTTGTGATTGGAACAACTGTAGGACACTCACGCACTCAATGGAGTACCGTTCAAAGCAGTGTTAAACCCAACTCACTCACTCACGCACTCAATGGAGTACCGTTCAAAGCAGTGTTAAACCCAACTCACTCATATCACTCACTCATTCACCCAAGGCGGTGGGGTAGCCTAGTAATTAAAGCGTCCGCTCGTCACGATGAAGACTTGGGTTCGATTCCTTACATTGTCACAGTGTGTGAAGCCTTTTTCTGGCGTCCCCCGCCGTGATGTGCTGGAATGTTGTTAAAAGCGGCATAAAACCATACTCACTCACCCATGGCTCTCTTAGGAGGATTCATTCCTTTCCTTTCGTTACTGGTGAATGTTGCAAGTTACGCCAACAAACATCTGCTGTTAAAATACAGGTATATAGGAATATACTTTGAATACGATGGTCTTACGTACCCTACAGGGGCACAATAACTTGACGGGTCGTCATTAATGGGATACAAAAAGGACGGGTCGGGACGGTTGGTTGGTTTGTTGTTTAACGCCGCTCTGAACAATATTCCAACTACACTCTTCAAAAAAAGAAACGCACAGGCGTGTTCAGCAGTTCATTTTGATATATTTTGACAGCAATCGTCATTAAGACAATTCCTTGAATCCCGTTAAGCATGTCCTGGTTGTTGTGTATTGCGCGCAAACACATCCAAAAATGAGTTTGTAAACGTTTGTCATACAAAATAAAAACGATACATGAAAAGTGCATGCAGAAAACGTTTTCCACGTAATGCACGTGTGATGTGTCGGACACGTGAGTAGAGATGTCGACTATAAAGGGCCAAACCAACTTCATCATTTCATTACCAAATTTACGACATAAACGAAGATATAAAATGCCAGGATTGAATGCTACTAACCGAAAGACCGCCATTGTACGTTTGGAAGCAGGGGAGTACCAGTCTGACATTGCAAGACACTTGAACGTCTACCACTGCACCATATCTCGATTATGACATCGATACAGACCGCCTCCGTGGTGTAGTGGTTAGAGCGTCCGCCCGGAGAGCGGAAGGTCGCGGGTTCGATCCCCGACCGCGTCATACCAAAAGACGTTAAAATAAGGTCATGTTGGTCCCCGCCTGGCGCTCGGCATTAATGGGTACAACAAGGACTGGTCGGCTCGGAGTCAGTATAATGTGTCTGGGTGGGGTATTCATGCTTCACTGCGGCATGGTATCTCAGTGGGCTAGCACTATAAAACCAGCTTCAGTCTGGGCTAGTACAAGCAGCCGCACATACACATACACACGCATGCACGTCGTCATATGAGCGAAATAATCTCAAGTACGACGTTAATCCCAATTTCACCTCACCTCACATCGATACACCCGCTTCAATTAGACCCAAGATCGTCCCAGAAGTGGAAGACCAAGAGTGACCACTCCTGCTCAGGACTGATTCATCCGGGTGTTTCACTTACGTCACCGATTTACCACAGCAACGGACACTGCAGGAAAGATGCCTGGTCTTCGAAGAATATCCGACCAAACCATCAAAACTCGTCTGAGAGAAGTGGGAATTCGAGCATATCGACCACAATTTGGACCTGGACTGACAGGACTACACCGACAACGACGTGTCCAATGGTGCAACAGAGTACAGGCATGGGACATGGAGAACCCAGGGAAGGCGTTTGGTTCAACGATGGATTGCGTCTCCTCCTGCGACGACGAGATGGGAGACGTGTCTATCGACGTCAACACGAACGTTTTGTGCCGAACTGCGTTCGACAGGTGGACAGATTTAGGGGAGAAAGCGTTATGGTGTGGGGAGCCATGTCCTACACGGGTAGATCAGAGCTAGTGGTGGTTCAAGGCAATCTTACATCAAATCGCTACATCGACCAAATCCTGGGACCTGACCTCCTCCCGCTTTTTAACCGCCAGAGGGCGACACACAACTCGTGTAACAGGTGCCTATCGTCACTGTCCATCCCTGGCCTTCCAAATCGCCTGATCTGAACCCGGTCGAGCATCTTTGGGACGAACTTGATTGTAAACGTCGCCATCGTCCTCAGACGTTGCAGGAAGAATGGCGTAGAATTCCCCAAGCAAAGATCCGACGATCCAAGGCGGTGTCGAGCTGTGACGGCTGCAAGGGGTGGTGTCACCAGGTACTGACCTGAACACCCCCTTGTGTCCACACACGTGCAGTGAGTGAACTGAATTGATGCTGATAATGACAACAATACAAATGTTCATTGGTGTGCCGAATTTTCCTCATCTCTGTTCAAGCTTAATCGGCTTATGTACACTTAAATACGTTTAATACAATTCCTTATTTTTGGCGTATGCGTTTCTTATTTTCAAGAGTGTATATGTTGGCGGTCTGTAAATAATCGAATCTGCATTTCGACTAGTGATCAATATCATGAACATCGTTATACGCAATTGGGATACGATGACATGTGTCAACCAAGTCAACGAGCCTGAACACCCGATCCTGTCAGCCCCTTTATGGCTTACTGTTCAATGACCAATTCTAACCTGGATCTTCACGGGTTGCGAAAATCTCATCGGGATGGAGTATACAATGTCTGAATGTCATGAGATATACGTGTTCAACTGCGGTGTATTTTCTCAGTAAGCTTTAAAACAAAAGCGCAAATGTAATAATCGCGATGTCAAATGTTTTTTTTGTTTCCAGGCAGCGATTGCCCATCCGCTGTGCAAGCACATCTATCTTACAAGGATCTACAGGGACTATGATTCCGATGTCTTCTTTCCCTCTTTCGAAGATACATTCACGGAGAGCAGGTAAAACAAGAGGAGGTGAGGTGAGGTGAAATTGGGTTAACGTCGTGCTTGAGAATATTTCGCTCATATGACGACGTGCATGCGTGTGTATGTGTATGTGCGGCTGCTTGTACTAGCCCAGACTTAAGCTGGTTTTATAGTGCTAGCCCACTGAGTTGCCATGCCGCAGTGAAGCATGAATACCCCACTCAGACACATTATACTGACTCCGAGCCGACCAGTCCTTGTTGTACCCATTAATGCCGAGCGCCAAGCAGAGACCAACAAGTACCATATTTTCTCCTCCACAATTATTAGGGAACCTCACCATCATTATTATTACCTTCTAATGTATGCAATTGCTCCGTACACTGAAAACTGTCGCACGCGATGTTGTCGGTGTTTGCCGAACTGGTTTCAATCACAAGTTGTGCGTAGGATATTTGTAAAGAGCACTCCAAGGGACATAACTCTGTGGAGTTCGCTTGAAATAATGTTCGGCCGGTAGAGGGTGCGAGAGTCTATTTAATGCAACGTTGTATAAATTCATTCGAACTTTTTTATTCAATATTGTAATCTAAATATGTAGAAATGGGAGAGTTGTGACGACTGTCTTTCGTTTTTCAGTGACCCGGATGTGGATGGGAAGATGAGAGAGGATAACGGAATTCAGTTCCGGTTTGAAGTTTATGACCGGAAGTGACGACAAACAGCCACATCAGAACCTTGAGTGCAGAAGACCCATACTGAATATTACGTGGAAGATTTTGAATGTCTCCAATCACGTTTCAGTAGTGTATGTTCTAACCATCTGGGAATGGGTTGTTGTCCTTTAAATTTGTGTTGTGTGGTATTTGGTATATTTCCAATATACCCTTTTGATAAAATAAAAAATCGTCATGTATTCTGAGGAGCAAAAGAAACTATTCTTGTCAATGATTTTATCAGATATTCGTTTTCCGTTAAAAATATCTGAAGTCAGCGATGTTATATCTAAAACATGAACTGTGCTGGCGCTCACAGAAATAAAAATATTTCTACACTTTTTAAAATGTAATATAGAACCAAGAAAACACAGGTATTGAAAATTCCCCACACAGACAATTGTTTGACTGATTTTCGTCCCCACAGGCTGATGGGACAATGCACTGAATGACAATTCCCCACACAGGGTACAGGACAATTCCCCACACAGACAATTCCCCACAGGACAATTCCCCACACAGACAATGCCCCAGACAATTCCACAGACAATTCCCCGCACAGACAATTCTCCCCCGTACAGACAATTCCCCACATTTCCCCACAAAATTCCCCACAGGACACCCCCATACACCCCCACACAGACAATTCCCTACAGGAGACAATTCCCCACACAGACAGACAGACAATTTTACACAGACAATTCACAAAACAATAATAGACAATTCCCCACTTTGCCACTGCATGAGCCGAAACAGTTTTATTCATTCATAGATATGATAAGAAGTTACATGCGTTTTGCAGAAAAACATCAGAATCTTTTTTTTCCCCAAAATTATATAAAGAATAGGCATAAATTATTTATAACATTTATGTTTGTTGAAAACGTTATGTTGGCAAAGCTGTGTTGTGATAGAGGAAGTTGCAAGTATGTATCCAGAAACCTATTCCTTATGTCTAGGTAGGCTTTACAATAAAGTAAAACATGCATTTCATCTTCAATTAAATTAAGATTAATGTTTTGGCAAAAAGGACAGAATCTTCAATCATAAAGGACATTGTTATATGTACCAGTCTCAGAACTAAGTTTAAAATTACCATATCCATATTTGGTTAAACAATTTCTTAAATATGGGGCAATACCTAAACTGAGATAACTTCTTAGCATTCAGGAGGGACTTGAAAAGTATATAATTAGAACACTTGGTTGTATTATGTAGAGATGAGTGCCAATCTTGTGAAAGATTATCAGACAATCTCTGCTTAAAAACAGAAATGAAACCATCAATATCTCCTATATCCTGTGACTTCATTTTCAGTAATGTCACAATTTAATGATTTTAGCTCGTCATCCTTAATAAACTCTGAATTGATATCACATTCATACACGTTACCAGAATTCTCAGTTAGAAGCCCTGTGTTCAGGGCACCTTTGCAAGATAAAGATAATCTGCTTGAACAAAGTTTCAACCCGCCACGGTTGTTCTTAATGAATTTCATCTTGAAACCTATAATGTCCCATTGTACACTTTTACTTATATACTACCAGCATGTTTTGATTTTCAATAAATATTCAAAACAATATCATCCTAACAGAGGTGACATTATCCCTTTCATCTCAGTTAAATTCAGTAGTGTGTTAAACTGTTAGATACAGTACAACCAGAAATTATTGAGAATTTAAAGATTGTAATTTTTATATTTTTTTCACTCATTAGTCACGTATTAATGTGAATATTAGAAGAACATAACTCCAGATTCCAAGACAGGTGTACAGTTAGTATTTTGTCAAGTCACCGTGGGCAGCAATGCAGGCTTTAATGCGGCGGGGTATACTACTGATCAAAGAAGTTAGAAAGTCGTGGTCCATGCTGTCCCAATATCGGACCACCTCTTCTTTCATTTCAGCAATATTTGTCAGATTTATTTTATTGACACTTTCCTTCATAAGTCCCCAAACATTTTCTATTGGATTTAGGTCAGGGCTATAGCTTGGCCAATCTAATAATGTCATATTTGGGTCTGAATGCTTTGAACGATGTTTTGGGTTGTCGTCCTGCTGGAAAATCCCAAAATTTCCATAGAACACGTGAGCAGATGGAAGTAAATGTCCCTCGAGAATATCTGTGTACAGCTCACTGTTCATATTCCCTTCAAACACACAGAGGGGCGTTGCCCCTAACAGAGATATGCCACCACGTTAAATTTCGGACTGTACTTTGGGCGCTGATACAAAGGTTTTTCAGTTTGTTTGGTCCAGAATTTCAGTGTATTAGGAAACAGCCACACAAAAATTTCATCTGAGAAAATCACATTGTCCCAGTTAAAAAGTCTATGCTGTAAGCACCAGTTCAACATTCGCTCCTTTTGTTCAGGTTTCATGATCGGTGATGGAAGTCCTAGACTTTTCTGCATGCAGCTCAGTTCTAAATGTCTCCTTACAGACAGCCACAGTTCCTCTGTCAATCATACGTGGAAAGGCGCTATATAAATGGCCTATTATTATTATTATTATTATATCCAGCCTTACGATTTATAAACTCTTTCGTTTGTTTTTAGAAACAAGAATACCAAGCCGCCTCCTGTCACCGACAGTCAATTTTCTGGGCCTACCTGCGCCTCCCTGGTGCTTAATGCCATATCCATTTGCAATATTTTTGAAAACACGATAAACAGTGGACAAAGGGATGCCTGTTCTACTTGAAATCACTTTAGCTGATCTGATGTCCTTGTTATTATACTCTAAAATCAACTTCCTCTTCTCTAAATCATCCATACTGAGGATCACTGAAAATGTCGTCTGCTAGCAAGTAAACAAAGGGGGATAACTCTTCACAAACTAATGAAAAAGGATTAACGGATAATAATTTCTGGTCATACTATAAACATTTGAAATATCATCACCTAAATACTATTTCACTGCTATCACGAGCGGCTGAGGGGATGGTGTAAATCCAGCTATGGTTCATGCAGGTAGCAAAGGCACTGTAAGTCCCCATGGTCCCTAGTATAGTTTAGGCAAACAAGCCTAAATGGCATATATTAATGCCGCTCCATAATACAGGTTCACATTTGTGCATAATGTTGTACATATAGTTGTAGTTATAACAAGTTATCTCTGAATAATAACAATTTTGGATATCAACAATTTATCTTAGTTTTGTTTCGTGGGCAATTGATACAAACAAGAAAATAATCTAAACTGCAAAACATTTATGAATCAAATCGTTTTGATATAATGTGCCTGGATTTCAGGTATAGATAAGCTGTTGCCATATCCTACGGAGTCACAGGAATGGAGTCCCAATCAAAGAGATTCTTCAAGTTGTCGTGCCATGAACTTACTGTAATGTTATTCACTTTTACGTGAGATGTACTTTATCTTTCGCCAAAATAATTGGGGATTAGTAATTGAGTCTGAGATCTCACTCATAGTTTTGTTTTCAGATTTATGTTTGGCATCTCTACACGCAGTTTTGTAGATATTTCTTGATGAAATATGTCGCAAGAGGCGACTAACGGGATCGGGTGGTCAGGCTCGCTGATTGCACAGATTGATGCTCATGTTGTTGATCACTGGATTGTCTGGTCCAGACTCGATTATTTACAGACGGCCGCCATATAGGTGGAATATTGCTGAGTGCGGCGTAAGACTAAAATGAGCATGTGCCAGGTGGTGAAAAACTAGAAACATAATTGTGTCGAAATGAGCACGTGCAAGGTGATTAAAAACTAGAAACATAATTGTGTCGAAATGAGCATGTGCAAGGTGATTAAAAACTAAAAACATAATTGTGTCGAAATGAGCACGTGCAAGGTGATTAAAAACTAGAGACATAATTGTGTCGAAATGAGCACGTGCAAGGTGATTAAAAACTAAAAACAAAATTGGGGCGTAATAAGCATGTGCAAGGTGATTAAAAACTAGAAACATAATTGGGGCGAAATGAGCATGTGCAAAGTGATTAAAAACTAGAAACAAAATTGGGGCGAAATGAGCATGTGCAAGGTGATTAAAAACTAAAAACAAAATTGGGGCGAAATGAGCATGTGCAAGGTGATTAAAAACTAGAAACAGAATTGGGGCGAAATAAGCATGTGCAAAGTGATTAAAAACTAGAAACATAATTGGGGCGAAATGAGCATGTGCAAGGTGATTAAAAACTAGAAACATAATTGGGGCGAAATGAGCATGTGCAAGGTGATTCAAAACTAGAAACAGAATTGTGTCGAAATAAGCATGTGCAAGGTGATTAAAAACTAAAAACAAAATTGGGGCGAAATGAGCATGTGCAAGGTGATTAAAAACTAGAAACATAATTGGGGCGAAATAAGCATGTGCAAGGTGATTAAAAACTAGAAACATAATTGGGACGAAATGAGCATGTGCAAGGTGATTAAAAACTAGAAACATAATTGGGGCGAAATAAGCATGTACAAGGTGATTAAAAGCTAGAAACATAAGTTGGACGAAATGAGCATGTGCAAGACTATGAAAAAGAAGAAACATATCTGGCGCGAAATGAGCACGTGCAAGGTGATTAAAAACCTGAAACATAATTGGGGCGAAATGAGCACGTGCAAAACTCATAGAAAATAATCATAATATATGCTCAGCCCTAGATAATCACCACCTTCATTTTATGGTATTTTGTGACATTTGAAAAACTTCTGATAGTGCTTGGCATAAAGGTTTATTGCACAAATTAGAAAATGGTGGTGTTCGTTAGTTGGTTAACTAACTATCTATCTGATAGACGACAGTGTGTCTCTGTTAATGGAACATTATGAAAAACTAAATGTTACTGCAGGGGTTCCTCAAGGATCTGTCCTTGGTCATTTTTATTCCTTGTATTTATCAATGACTTACCTGAAAAATATCACAAGAATATTTGCCGATGACACATCATTCGGTCTTGCGGGAAAAGATGTAAAATCGATAGAAGCTACTTTCAACTATGATCATGATGATATAGCCCATTTGAATAAATGGGCAGAACGGTGGTAAGCTAATTGTAACCCTCATCAGACTAAATTTATGCTTTTCAAGCATGGAAATTGGCCACAAGTTCCTGACTTGATCTTCAATAATGAACATTTGGAGTGTGTACATGAACATCAACATCTTGGTGTTATCTTATCGAACATTACAAAGTGCTCTCATCATGTAAATGCTGTAACAGAAAAAGCCTCTAAAATAGTTTCCTCATTACGGGCGTTAAAGTAGTGAGTGAGTGAGCGAGTTTAGTTTTACACCGCAGTCAGCAATATTCCAGCTATATGGCGGCGGTCTGTAAATAATGGAGTCTGGACCAGACAATCCTGTGATCAACATCATGAACATCGATCTGCGCAATTGGGAACCGATGACATGTGTCAACCAAGTCAGCGAGCCTGACCACCCGATCCCGTTAGTCGCCTCTTACGACAAACATAGTCGCCTTCTGTGACAAGCATGGGTTGCTGAAGACATATTCTACCCCGGATCTTCACGGGTCGCGTTAAAGTACGTCCTACTTGGAAATATTTTATCAAGCATGTATGAAATGCATGCAAGACCTATCTTATAATTTACTCTTGAGGACTGGGATAATTGTCCCGCAGATATTTGGGACAACTTCAAATGGTTCAACTCGAAGCAGCAAAAAATTGTAACCTGTCTGCCAAAATTCGCTTCTTCAAGAGCTAGTTTGAACAGTGAAACTTGTTGGTGACCAGTAAACTTACACATAAGAAACTTTGTACATTTTACAAATTGTTAACATGCAAGCTCCTGATTATTTTATAGACTTATTTCCACCATCTACTGAAACTATTTCTCTATACAATTTGGGTAGCTAGTCTAATTTGGCTATTCAAAAGTTTCGAACCACAGTTCTTCAAAACTCATTTGTCTAAGATCGTTCTTGTTCATGGAATAATCTCTTCTCCAGAATAAAATGTACCAATTCATTTCCATCATTTAGAATTAAATTATAAAAAATTGATAAAATTCCTAAATATTTCCTATTTGGTGATAGGAAGATTAATATTCTACACACTAAGTTAAGACATTCATGTAGTTCTTTATATGCTGATCTTTTTCGTGTCAATTTATATGAAAGTAAAGCTTGCCTTTGTGGTACTCTTGTGGAAGATGCCAATCATTTGTTTGATTTGCGGGGGAGCGGAGGGGACGTATTGCGATGTATTGGGAACTTAAGTGTTTGACAATGGGTGACACTAATTCTTCATGTCAATGCTGTATTCTGCTTTATAAGTCCCTGAGCATATATGGTATGGTTGTGATAACAGCAATCTCTAAATTAGATTGCATAATCAGGGATTCTATTTCCTATTTTATACAATTTATAGTATTACAGCATGCCTTTTTGGCATTGAAAACATTTGTTGTGAATGAAAGAGTGGTATCCTCTTATCCATTTTTTTTATTTAGGGATATAGGAACACCCCATTGAAATTGTGTGAAGAGTTTAATTTAAACCATAAAGATAATCACAAAAACTTCAGATACGTTCTTTACCCAATATACCGGTTCTAAGAAAAATATTGCTTCACGTACCGTTTGAAAAGGGTATTGCGACATACCGTACTTTTCAAAGCATAAACATAAACATAATGAAAAACAATTTATTTTAATATTCAAAATATCCACAAATAATCTCTGGTATTTTAAGACGTGTCACGAATAATGTCACAGCTTGTAGAATTAACATGAAATTATAGAAACCAATTGCTAACACAATTTTGAAAATCCGTAATGAAAAAGTGTTTGTCACAAACATGGCTATAACCCCACCCCCACCCGACTCGCTGTGAACTAAATAATAGCACAAGTACAAGAGGTGTACATTTTTCATTGAAAACTAACGAAGAATAAGTTTTGATACTAAATAGAATCTCACCCTCGTGTCTACTGATATCAATTACAGTTGTATATCAACACTCGTTGATAAAGGTAACTTTATCAACTCATGTTGATATAATTGATATCATTAGACACTTGGGTGAGATTCTCTATATATACATAACATATAGTGAGTTCTTCATGTGAGTCTAAACTTTTGATTGGTAGTAGTATTATGTATGACATGCAACGAAAAACGAACACATGCATATTTACGAATTTTGAAAATTGTTATTACAATTAACGTCAATATTTATTACATTTTACCGCAACTAATATAATTACAATTTGCGTCAATATTTATTCCATTTTACAATTTGCGGCAGGTATTACAATTTACGTTTTTATTACAATTTACGTCGTAACAGAGGCAATTTTGAACAAACTCACTTGCCTAAGCTGAGACCAGATGTATCACATGTGCTTCGTTGTGAGGCAGGACTGAAGTCCTAGAAACTCTCAGGAGTCAAGCTGCCAAACACGGTCACCCATCCAAGACTCTCCGCGCCTGGCATTGCTTAACTTCAACTGATTTGTGACCTGAGCTCTATGCACAGGACAGCACACCACTCGTGATTACAACATTCAGTGCTTATGTACCTACCCCTGGACCTTCGAGTTGAAAATGACCCTCTTCGAACAAATACCAAGTTTCACCAAAACCTTATTCTCGCCAGTCACTCCGTACCTCATGCACTGTAACTTAAATTGTAATTTTGATAATGTTTCACTGCATCCAAATAGAGCAATGCTGCATTTGTAATTTGCTTAAAGAAATACGATTCGTCTCTTGGATAATGTCCCAGCCTTCCTTCCTTGTCATATTGGCACCAGGGTTTTTTTTAAACATTCAAAATAGTTTTGCTGGATGGTGCTCAGTTGAGAAAGTTTAGAAAGTTTTGAAAAGGCACTTCCTAATGATTAATTAAAAATAATCGGAACATTAATTGTTCATACAACGAGTAGCTTGATCAACAGTTTTTGATTCCGTTAAAGTAATAAAAGATGCTTTCGACTCACAGTCATTCAATTTAGAAAAACTAATCCCCGAATCCAAATTGCGGAATGAACACAGATTAATTTTACAAACATTACAGTGAAACGGGCAGATTCCATTATTTCCAATGGCTATGAATGAACCATCAAACTCATGACCTTTGAAGTTCCCGGGTTCGATTCCCCACATGGGTACAATGTGTGAAGTCTATTTCTGGTGTTCCTCGCCGTGATAGTGCTGGAATATTGCTAAAACGGCGTAAAACTAAACTCACTCACTCACTCCCACATTAAGCAGTTTAAACTGGAATACTGTGATGTTGCTAGAATATTAATCGCAAAAAGTGGCGTAAAACTAAACTCACTCACTCAACACAAATCTCTACTTTGTTCAGAAAATGTAATCCCAGATAGATATTAGGCCTATGTCACATTCGACCATGTTTGAAAGAGGAGTTGTCTAATATTTCTCAGTTGTATCCAGTCATCTGTTGTTCGTAACGAGTGATAAATCCATAAACCGTCCAGCATATGATCATTCGTTCTTTGTGAAAATATATGTCAAATTGGCTTGTACCAGCTGTGCACAGAGATATGATTTGTGACTTCGTAATCGGACGTAAAATGCATTGCCAAGGCGTTTCGAGTGGTGTGTGTAGGATATCTTGTCCGGAACGTCCTCACAGACGATGAGTGTATTCTGAAGGCAACGACTAAATGTTCACTTTTCGTCCTTCCTTCTGACAGTATTTGTGTAATTTGCAAGCCAGTATATTCTTTAAACGAGCTTCAGCGTGAACTTGTTCTCTGAATAAAATCCCAGCGTTGGTCTTAAATTGATATCACGTTTTCGAACACGTTTCTATCCTGGTAATGTGAATAGTGCGCTTGCAACACGTTCCTGCAACAAAATGGCTTCTCCGATCATCAAAACGATGACAGTGCTTACAAGACCGTGAGTATTTGCTATACCATTTAATCATCACTTTTACTCACACTTGCTAACTCCACCACGATTGATAAGGCACCTATTGTTCAAGTTGTTACACATCCACGGCATTTAAATTGAAGATATTCTGGGTTTATCGTGGACTGAAATTCTTCCTCATTATAACGCAAGACACGTATAGTGACAGTATTCATTATAAAATCGTATGGTTGTCTGCTCCGATGTGTTTATCAAGGACAGAAAAGATGAATTTCCGTTGACAATAATCACAATTCACCAAAATGTCGAACCGAGAATAACGCGAGCTGTAGGTATTTGTTCGACGTTCATCGATCTCCAGCTATCGATACATCTGGGCTATTGGACCTAATATGTCCAACACAGCAATATTCCTAGACATGGTAGCCGTCCATTAACAAGTGAGCCTGAAGCAGAAAATCTCCATACACATGAGCCTTGTCACAGACAATCTGCACACACATGAGCCCTACGTGTCACAGACAATCTATAATACACACATGAGCCTTGTCACAGACAATCTATTGATACACATGAGCCTTGTCACAGACACTCTGCAATACACATGAACCTTTGTCACACACAATCTGAATACACATGAACCTTGTCACACACAATCTATTGAATACACATGAGCCTTGTCACAGACAATCTATTGAAATACACGACGAGCCTTGTCACAGACACTATGAACCATATATTGTCACAGACAATCTGCAATACACATGAGCCTTGTCACAGACAATCTATTGATACACATGAGCCATATGTCACAGACAATCTACTACGAACCGCACACATGAGCCTTGTCACAGACAATCTACTGCACACACATGAACCTTTGTCACAGACAATCTGCAAGTGACACACGAACCATATGTCACAGACAATCTATTGATACACATGAGCCTTGTCACAGACAATCTACTGATACACATGAACCATATATGTCACAGACAATCTGGGTACACACATGAACCGGGTGGTCACACATGAGCCTTGTCACAGACAATCTGCAATACATTATGAACCTTTGTCACAGACAATCTATTGATACACATGGCCTATGTCACAGACAATCTGGGTATACACATGAGCCTTGTCACAGACGATCTACAGCCATTACACATGAACCATATGTGTGACAATCTGCAATATACATGAACCTTTGTCACACATGAGCCTTGTCACAGATGATCTGCAATACATGAACCTTGTCAATACTGATCTACAATACACATGAACCTTGTCACAGACAATCTATTGATACACATGAGCCTTTGTCACAGACGATCTATTGATACACATGAACCATATATGTCACAGACAATCTGCAATACACATGAACCGTGTCACACATGAGCCTTGTCACAGACGATCTGTAATACACATGAGCTTTATCACAGACATGATCTGCAATACACATGAACCCATTTATATACTAGCAGACAATTGCATTACACATGAACCGTGTCATTACACATGAGTCTTGTCACAGACGATCTACGCAATACACATGAACCTTTGTCATCTCCATACACATGAGCCTTGTCAGTCATCACATGAGCCTTGATCACATGAATACATGAGCTTGTCACAGACAATCTATTGATACACATGAGCCTTGTCACAGACGAATCTGCAATATATATGAGCCTTGTCACAGACGATCTGTAATACATGAACCATATATGTCATGACAATCTGTAATACATTATGAACTGTGTCACACAGCAATTGTCACAGACGATCTGCATTACATTACTGAACTCTTTGTCACAGACAATCTGCAATACACATGAACCATATATGTCACAGACAATCTGCAATACACATGAGCCTTGTCACAGACGATCTGCAATACACATGAACCATATATGTCACAGACAATCTGCAATACACATGAACCTTGTCACACATGAGCCTTGTCACAGATGATCTGCAATACACATGAACCTTGTCACACACAATCTGCAATACACATGAACTATATATGTCATCACAGACGATCTGCAATACACATGAGCCTTGTCACAGACGATCTGCAATACACACACATGAGCCTTGTCATGACGATCTGCAATACCGCATACACATGAACCATATATGTCACAGACAATCTGCAATACACATGAATACACATGAACCTTGTCACAGACAATCTATTGATACACATGAGCTTTGTCACAGACAATCTACTGATACACATGAACTTGTCACAGACACATCCTATTGATACCACGAGCATTGTCACAGACAATCTTACTGATACATGACCGTGGTCACACATGAGCCTTATCACAGACAATCCATCTGCAATACACATGAACCATATATGTCACAGACAATCTGGTAATACACATGAACAATCGTACACATACATCTATGAACCTTGTCACAGACACTCTTCAATACATGAACCCTTTGTCACATGGACAATCACAATACACATGAGCCTTGTCATAGACAATCTATTGATACACATGAGCCTTTGTCACAGACAATCTACAATGATACATGAACCTTGTCACAGACAATCTATTGCATACATGAGCCCTGTCATAGAGAATCTGCAATACACATGAGCCCTATCACACACAATCTGCAATCACAAACCCTTGTCAAATACTGATAATACATGAACCCTTGTCACAGACAATCTACAATCTGCATACATGAACCTTGTCACACCAATCTGGCAACCCGCGGACATAAACCTATTGTCACACACAATCTACAAAATAAACATACACACAACCTTGTCTGAGCCTGCAATATCAAGCACTAATCTGAACACACACATGAACCTTGTCACAGACAATCTATTGATATTACATGAGCCTTGTCACAGACAATCTAGCAATACACATGAACCATATATGTCACAGACAATCTATTGCAATACCCATGAACCTTGTCACAGACAATCTGCAATACACATGAGCCTTGTCACACACAATCTAATTGATACACATAAACCTTGTCACAGACAATCTGCAATACACATGAACCTTGTCACACACACAATCTGCAATACACATGAACCTTGTCACACACAATCCTTGCACACACATAAACCTTGTCACACACAATCTGCAATACATAAACTTTGTCACAGACGATCTACAATACACATGAACCTTGTCACACACAATCACATGAACCTTGTCACACTTATGCAATACCAGCTGTCAATCAGACAATCCGCAACACATTACGAACCTTGTCACAGACAAACTATACGATATTGACATGAACTTGTCACAACAATCTGTTGATACACATGAACCTTGTCACAGACAATCCATTGAAACACGAGCCTTGTCACAAACAATCTACTGATAACATGAGCCTTGTCACAGACAATCTACTGATACACATGAACCTTGTCACAGACAATCTGTTGATACACAAGCCTTGTCAGAGACAATCTACTGATGTGTCTGTCCTGTATACAACCCAGACAGGGTAAGGCTGACATGACCTTCTACTGAGGTTTCTTAGACTCAGTGTAGCAGTGTAACGAATAATACTGAGCCTAAGTTTAATTAGACTGGCAATATATCATGACAATGTCAACCCGTGGAGATGAGGGACTTCAGCAACTGATGCTTGTCTTAATACTGCATGCTGATTATCTATTCCCTTTTGCTTATCTTTATTTGCTAAAGAACAGATAAGGCCTGTAAAACACATTCCATTTTAAAAACACTCTTTAATATTTTATTCTAATTTGTCTGGAACAAAATAATTTCGTGAAAGGATACAGTTACTCAAGAGGTCCTGAGGTGGGCACATTTGTGTAGAATCCTTGGACAAGATACTTAGATCCACATTGTTTCAGTTAACCCAGCTGTAAAATGGGTACCCGTGAGGATGTACTGGCAACATGAGTGTTTAGTTCATTGCGTCTAACAGGCAGCATGGCTGTATGATCCCCAGGGAGTTGAAACAGTTTCGGAAAGTACGATAGTGTCTTATGACCGGGGATAGTAATGTACATAGCGCCGTGAGCAGGCAATGTGCCTGGATATTAGCGCCATTTAAGCGGACTATCACTATTACTATTACAGTTAGATTCACAATATGCAAGTGAATTGTAACAGCCCTACTATCCATAGTATTGTGTCCCATGCTAAACATGCCCAAATATTCAGTCCATTTTGTACAATATTCTGTAGGACTGCACGGTGTTACCGGTATATCGCAATACGCTTTTCAAATGACCCGTAAGGATCTGGGTTAGAATATTGATCTTCAGTAACCCATGCTTGTCATAAGAGGCGACTAACGGGATCGGGTGGTCAGGCTCACTGACTTGGTTGGCACATGTCATTGGTTCCCAATTGCGTAGATCGACGCTCATGCTGTTGATCACTGGACTGTCTGGTCCAGACTCGATTGTTTACAGACCGCCGCCATGTGGCTGGAATATTGCTGAGTGCGGTGTAAAACTAAACTCACTCACTCACTAACTCAAATGATACCTATTGCAGTATTGTTTTCTGAGAACCAGTATCCCGGTATCAGGGGTTTTCGACGATCGTCGGAAACACCAGAACGTCGAATTCAGCTCGCTTTGGGATATATTACACATATAAAGTTTTTGTGCTTATCCTTATGGTTTAAGTTAAAATCTACACAGACTTTCATTCACAACATTTGTTTCCTTCGTTATTCAATGACAAGAAAGACACAAAACGGCATGCTGTAATACTATAAACTGTACAACAAACAATATAGAATCCCTGACTATACAACCTAGTTTTGAGATGGCTGTTATCAGAACCATAACATATGTTAAGGGACTTATAATGTAGAAAATAGTATTTACATACACAATTAGTGTCACTCGCTGTCAACACTTAAGGACTGCCTCCGTGGTGTAGTGGTTAGAGCGTCCGCCCAGAGAGCGGAAGGTCGCGGGTTCGATCCCCGACCTCGTCATACCAAAAGACGTTAAAATATGGTACTTGTTGGTCCCTGTC